CGCGGGGCTCTGGGTTCAATCCTCAGCACCAAATAAAAATGAAACAAAGATGTTGTGTCTACCGAAAACTAAAAAATAAAGATTAAAAAATTTTTTTCTCTCTCTCTAAAAAAAAAAAAAAAAAAAAAATTCCACAAGAGTGGGGTGAGGTGCACCATTCCTGGAGGTACTGAAATACCAGGTGGATGCATGGAACAGATGAGAAAGTTCCTATTACATCTCCTTGCTCCAAAAATCTATTTAATCTATTGTCCTCTGGTAGAGGTTGTATCAGATAGTAAACTGATAAAAACAGATAATATACTTGATCTTAGCCAAAAGACCAAGAAGGAATACTATGCCATTTAAAATAAGGGATTTGAGACTCTATAGATTTTGACATCTGTGGTGTGTTCTGGAACTAATTGCTCATGGATACTGAGGGATGGCTATATTGCCTCTATATTTAAATTACTTTCCTGGCTTATCTCTGACTTCTTGAGAAGAAGAGCTATGGTATGCTTCTTAAAATCCATGTAGCAATAGTGCAATTCCTGGTCTAAGTGTTGAATAAACATTTCTTATTAAATTAGCTGTTGAAGAAGTTCCATAAGAAGACTATACATTTGTAATTCTTAAAATAATGGGTCTGAGTCTATATCAGAACAATTTGCTTCCATTTAGGGCATTAAGATTGGTGTTCCTAAACAGTGGAATGAAACAGGTCAAACTATCCTATCTATGTACCTATATAAATATATCACAGTGAATTTCACCTTTATGTATATCTGTAATGCACTAATTTAAAAAAAATCTCTAGATAAATAGAAGAAAGACCGGTAGAATATAGGAAATGAGGGTGGGGATAGGAAAAGGGAAAGTACTAGGGACGAGTTGGAGCAAATTAAATTCCATACTTGTATAATTATGCCAAAATGAATTCCAATATTATGCATAGCTCTAATGCAATAAATACATTTTTTTTTAAAAAAATGGTGTTCCTATACTTTCACACTAGCTATAAAGGAAAAACAGTCATGGGACTAGCTATTATGAACAACTAGGAGGTCCAGCAAAATATATGAAACTACTATTGTCAGATGTTGGACAACAGGCAAAACACGATTGTGAGTCCCATGAGAAAAGACAAATGAGTTAAGGCCAGCCATCACCCCAGCTGGAGGCAAAACCAAGGGAAACAAGCCAGGTGTGGTGGTGCACACCTGTTGTCCCGCCTACTTAGGAGACTAAGGCAGAAGGATCCCTTGAGCTCAAGAATTTGAGACCAGCCTGGGCAGTATAGTGAGACTTGGTCTCAAAACACATGGATGCCAAAACAAAACACCCCAAACAGACAAACAAAACAGAGCCCTGATGTCAGGCTGAATCGAAGAAATAAATAAAAGTTTAGGGAGGTCAKCGCAGCTAGAACTTGTGGGCAGGAGCCAGCAGAGGAGAAAACTAAACAGAGAAATAACTTGGGAAATTTGCATAAGAATTTTGTGGAGTCACTGACTAGTAATAACCTGTGGGTGCCTATGGCTGGCCAAAGAAAAACTTCTGGGTCAAGAACAATTATTGGGAGCTATAAACCAAACAATTCCCGGAGCTCACACAAAACTGGGAAACGTTCAAATTTCTGTCAGCCAGAATCATTTTACTGATTATGTGGAACATTCATTCATTAGAGACCCTAAGTGTGTCATACTTCAGGAATAGGACTAAAGTAACCATAGAGTTAACGTTATAACTGTTCTAAACAGTTTATAAACAAGCTTCCAATGGATCCAGCTGATTCTTTAATATAAATAGATAGATAGATATTAGTTATCAATGAAACTTTATTTTATTTATTTATATGTGGTGCTAAGGATTAAATCCAGTGCCTCACACATGCCAGGCAAGCGCTCTACCACTGAGCCACAACCCTAGATCCATCTGATTCTTAAATAATTGATAACTAGAAAAAGTCCAACACCTTTTAAAATATATTTAAAAAAAAATTTATCATTTATAACACAAAATTCACTAAGTCTGGCATCTAAATCACAAGATCAGTGAGGGAATAAAAACAAACTAAAAATTGATAGAAGTTGGGCTGGCTCAGTGATGGAACGCTTGCCTGGCATGTGTGAGGCCACTGGGTTSRATCTTCAGCATCACATAAAATAAATAAAGGTATTGCATTTATCTACAACTAAAAAGAAGTCTTAAAAATTGACAGAAGTTATAAGATTAGCATATAAGGACTTTAAAACAACTATTAAAATAGTATAAAAATGATCAGGTATTTAAAGGAAAGCACATATAATATGAGAAGAATGGGTAGCATAAAAAGGACCAAAGAGAGCCTCAGGGAATGAAAAGAATACTACTTTTATAAAAATCTCACTGATGCAGTCTATACTCAAAAGACTTAAAAACAGAATAATACAGGGACACATCAATATTTATAGCAGCACAATTCACAATAGCTAAACTGTGGAACCAACCTAGATGCCCTTCATTAGATGAATGGATAAAAAAAATGTGGCATATATACACAATGGAATATTACTCAGCAATAAAAGAGAATAAAATCGTGGCATTTGTAGGTAAATGGATGGAGGTGGAGAAGATAATGCTAAGTGAAGTTAGCCAATCCCAAAAAACCAAATGCCAAATGTTTTCTTTAATGTAAGGAGGCTGATTCATAGTGGAAAAGGGAGCCAGAGCATGGGAGGAATAGACGAACTCTAGATAGGGCAGAGGGGTTGGAGGGGAAGGGAGGGAGCATGGGGTTATTAATGATGGTGGAATGTGATGATCATTATTATCCAAAGTACATGTATGAAGACAGGAATTGGTGTGAATATACTATGAATACAACCAAAGCTATGAAAAATTGTGCTCTATATATGTAATAAGAATTGTAATGCATTCTGCTGTTTTCTCACGGATGATATTTATAGCATCTAAGATACTACAGAAGAAAAGATAACTAACTTGAATAAATACCAAGAGAAATTATTCAAAAGGAAGCAGAGAGAGAAAAAGGTATTGGGAAAAAAAAAAGGCAGAACAGAACCTCAGTGATCTATGAGCAAATATCAAATATATGTATAATTGAAATCCCCGAATCTGGTAGGAGATGGTGCAATGGATAAAATATTTGAAGAAATAATGGCCAAGCAATTGATGAAAATTGTAAGTCTGCAGATCCAAGAACCTCAATGAATCCTTAGAGTGATAAATATGGAAAAAAATCAAAATGTACCTCTCAGCAAAGCAGGAAAATGGTATTTATGTAAATTTTCTTTCAAAATAGCCACTTTCCATTAGTGTCAGGGAATTTTCTTCCATTCTTCCAGGGGTTTTGTTTGTTTGTTTTTTGAATTAGGGATTGAACCCAGGGGTGCTCTACTACTGAGCTACATCCCTAGCCCTTTTTGTTTTTATTTTTTATTTTATTTTTAAAAATATTTACTTTTTAGTTGTAGTTAGACACGATATCTTTATTTTATTTATTTTTATGTGGTGCTGAGGATCGAACCCTGGGGCTAGGCGCTCACTAGGCGAGCACTCTATCGCTGAGCACAATCCCAGTGCCCCCTTTTTGTTTTTAAATTTGAGACAGGGTCTTGCTAAGCTGCTTAGGGTCTCACTAAGTTGCTGAGACTGGCCTCAGACTTGCAATCCTTCTTCCTCAACCTCCAGAGTCACCTTATAGGTGTGCACCTGGCTATACAAGTTCTTAAAAGTGATCCAAAATGGGAAGAGGGATGATATATGAAGATATGCAGTTCTGATATTTTTTAAACCTATCAGGATCAAATATTTTCGGTTTCCCAGTGACCTTATTTTCATTTTACTGTCTGTAAATAAATYCAGAATGTTYCTGTAGTTTTTGCCCAGAGGGAGATTCTATGAGTATCCCTACATAACAATGCTTCTATGCTGAAATCATCTTTCTATCTGTAGAAGAAATACTTGCCTACTTGTGTGGAAATAAAACAGAAAACCTGGTATAATTTTATTTAAGTCTTTGAACATGGCTAGATGGAATATAAATGTGTAATGATTGCATGTTATTGAATACAAGTTTTTCCTTGCAAGCTAGCTCACAAAACCTTATAATCTCCCTGTACCTAAAACCTCACATAATTGAGGCAAGTCATTAAAGCCCTAACTAATATTTCTTGAAGTTCTTCAGAGTTTTTGGACTGTTCTGTTCCCTTATCTCTATTTGTATGGCTTGAATGGCAGGAGGGTCTCTGTCTCCTATTCAAATTCAGAAAAAGCTACCACGGCTGCTTAATCAATGCTAAGAATACCATGTAATAAGCCTCTTGGTACAGAGCCTGGGGACTGCGGGGKCCTCAGTCTCCATAGACATGTGGGGAAACACCAATAGGCTTTAAAGATTTCAGGGAAGCAGGTATGTTGGCCATCCCCATTGTGTGGGTCCTAAGATCATGGCTGCCACCAAAATACAGCATGATGTGCAGGTGCTGTCCTTTACATGAGAAATGACAACCAATGAACACAGAAAGTTATAGAATTGCATTTGCTTTTATAGTGATGGTGATTTATGGCATGCTTTTAAACTAGACATTTAAAACAGTGACTGTCAGACTTTAATAAGCRAGAGAAACAAATGAAGAGCTTGAAAAAATGCAAATTCCCTGGCTCCCACCCTAGAGACCCTGAATTCAAGACATCTGGGCCAGGCTCTAGGAATAAGACCTTTAGGAGTTTCCAATGMTGATTATTTACACTTAAAGTGTTGCCATTTCCTTAGTTGGAGTAAATGAACAATTAAGACACTTTTGTGCTCTAAGAGTGTGAACCAATGCTTTATTCTGTATTATTTACACTCATTTCCTCAGTTCTCTCCCATTGTCTTTTACTTGTGTTGCAAGTATTAAATGAGGGCACAACATTCAAAGCACATGGGAAAAAGTCTCCTTCCTTCCTTAGCAACCAGTCACCCAGCTCTCCTTCCTGGTGCTTCTACTATTACATTTCTTATGTATCCTTCCAAAGATATTCTGTGCATTTGAAAACATAGGAGACAGCCTATGAAATTGAAAATAAAAGTACAGGCATATGATATTTTTCTTCTAACAAATGTTAAGACACACAATGTTCTATGTTCTTCACCTAGATTTWAAAAAWTTKTTTTAAAAAAACCCTTCTGCTTAATATAGGTTGAAAATCTTTTTGTATCAGTACACAGAGAGAGCATCCTTAAAGAAAAAGAGACTTTTAAAAAGCCGGATAGCCTTCCATGGTATTGATGAGCTGTCATGTATTTGAACAGCCTTCTTTTCATGGACATTTGTTTCCAATCTTTGCTAGCGATGTACTGTTGCAATGAATGACCTTGCACTCATTTCACACCTGTGTTAGTATATCTCTAGGATAAATTCTAGAAGTGGAATAACTGGGTCAAAGACTATACATGAATTTGTTATTTTGAGAGATATTGCCAAATTGTTTTATACCATGAGGTATAAAACTTTTATTTTTACAAATCTGACAGGTAGAAAATGTTACTTTTTAGATTTGGTTGCAGGTATGTGAAGTCAGATATCTTCTCATGCTACTGGGTGGTATTGAATTCCTTTTCCTGTGAACTCTCTTTGTATCATTTTATATGGTCTTTTCTTATTAATTAATAAAAAGGTAGTCTTGTTTTAGCAACAGATGGACTATCATGTCTTGACCAGGACCTTGACCCTCACGCCCCACCCCCCACCACCAAATTTATTAACCCCAGCATGGAATTCTGGCTTTGCTACTTGCTATGTGACCTTGGAATAGTTACTTCAACTCTTTGGRTCACAGTGTCCAAGTGCCAGGCTTAATAAAGTCTGCCGTTATCAAAATGGTTCTTTAAAACCAGGGAGTTGACTTGGGCAAGTCAAGCTGTTGCAGAACACATTTCTCCGCGGGGGAATTTTGCTTAGGCGCGGAGGCCAGGATGTAGCAACCAAACCGCGGGGTCAGGGAGAGGCGCCCGGAGGAAGCTGTCTTATTAAAGCTTGGGTTTTTCCGTTCGATAGAATTGTGACCAAGAAATCAAACTCAAGCAAAGAGGGAGCCACTTTGTGTAGCGTTATCTGGCCCCTCGGCCGCCCCTCCCGCTCCCTGGCCCCCTCCCCTGCCAGGTGGAGCTCAGCGCTCCAACCCCCGCAAGGCAGACGTGGCGGGTGCTGCGGCGCCCCGGGGCCCAGAGCGCTGAGACGCTGAGGGTGGGCCTCGCGGTCACGTGATCCCGGCCAGCTGTTAGCAGGGGGCGGTGGGACTGAAAGCCCGGAGTCTAAGAAGGGGAAGCGCCCGGCGGCCGCCTCCGACACTGCAGTTGCAGCTCCTAATGTCGCCGCAGTAATCCAGCCGCTGCGCACTCTCAGCCTCACCGGTCACAGCACCGCATCGCAGGGCCGAGCCCGGATCCCGCCGCTCCTCAGGTGAGAGCCGCGGCTGGCCACGACTGGAAGCTCCGGGCCTTTGCAGCGCCGTTTCCCCGGGCGGGTTTCACTCCATCCGCCATCGCAGTCCCCAGCGTCTGGTCGCCTGCCGCTTTTGGAGCCTGCAAGTAGTGCTACCCCGGGCCTATTGCCCTCCAGGGTTGGCTCAGACAGGCTGGGGAATCTTGGGGATGGGAAGAAAGGTGGCTTCGGCAAAGGGTCGGGGGTGACTTAGGTTTAGGGAATGCGGGGACGAAGGAGAGAGACGCCCCACCCCGGGGTGCAGGCACTGCAGCCTGTTTGGAACCTGCCCCCCACCCCGCCCTCCGTACTCCAACCCTGTCCTTCCCTCCACCTGCCTTTAACTCATAACATCTCCCGGCCGCTCTTCCTGTTTTCTTTCCTGGCAGCCAAGTTGCCACCCCYTGAATGTGTGACTGTGCTCCCCCCATTCCTCCATCGTTCGGGTGGCTGGCAGGATTCGGGGTTCCGAGTTCGCCCCGGCGCARCGTGGGTGAAGGAGCGAGCCTGGCACCTTCTCGGAGCTAACGCACCTGCCGCGGTGGCAGGCTGGCTGCGAACACGGCTGCGTGGCGAGGCCGCTGCCCTTGGCCCAGCTCTGCCCCCTGCGTCCACCCTGTCGGCTACAGCCCAAGGGTGTCCGGGTCTGTCTTCCAATTACGGGCTTGAGCGCGCTGTTGCTCTAGTCTAGGCTGGCTGCGCGCAGGACTTGACTCAACTTCCCCGCGAGCGGCACCCGGGCATTCCTGGGGGTGCGAGAGGGGTCAGGGCAGGTTAACGTGCAGGCCTCAGGGCGCCTATGGGTGAAAGGCACTGGTGTGTTTCTGAGATGATTGTCCACCTCAGTTTATCGTTGGCTCTTCAGTTTGCTTTTTCTCTCTCCGGCACATCACTCACTCATTGAGGTCTGCCAAGCAAAAGAGAAGATTGAATTTTAGAGAATTGTCGAGAATTCGTATTTAGGGATTAAAAAATGCCCATTACACCCGTATGAATCTAAGGAAACTCTTTATTTTCTGTGACTCAAAGCTGACTTGGTAGGATTTCATTAAACGATATAGCTTTTCTGATTAGTATTAGCTTGCAGGTGTCTTGAATGAGGCTTGTGTCCAGTTTCACCATGGTGATGGTGGTGGTGGTTGTGGTGATGGTGTCTACTGTGATCCACGCCTGACTTGAAGACGCATTACTTGCCGATGAAACCTATGTTAATTCAAAATGGCAGCATGAAAAATCAGGCCAGGCGGGGAAGCAGCACAGACTACAGCCAACAGCAGCTGCCCCGTGACTTAAGCCTTGGTGAGGGAATCAAGGAGAGGGAAGGCTCTCTTGGGTATCAGGAAGTGATTCATGGAACTGGTTAGATTTTAGCGTGTAAGCATGGTCTTGGGGAGTAAGTGGGAAGTTTGGGGAGCTGCAGTTATTTCCCCTAACTTGTCAAAAGCTGGTTATAAAACCTATTCAGAATTAAGATTTTGATCTGATTTTCTTCAGGCTTAACTAAAGATAACTAAAGATGTCTGTTTGATGCACAACTTGGATGTTTTGTACCTACCAGCTGCTTTTAAAAGGAATGGATGTGTAGTGTAAACGTAATCCAAGAATAGTGCACACAACAAATACAAATAGCAAGTTTCATTAGAAGAGCTGATATAGCATGATGAGCAAGACCCAGGCACCAGAGAATGGCAAATTCTTGAAAGGTGACTCATTTTAGGATCCCCCCCCCCCCTTTTTAAATGCAGCTTTCCATTCCTTTTTCATTGCTGTGCTGCCAGCCATCTTGTCTTTTAGGAAGGAAGAGATGAAGGAGCAAGTGGGAAGATGAGGCTGAAGGTCAGGAGTGGCAGAGCTGGAGGCATCCTGAGCAGGCTTGTTGTGAACCCCCCTTTTATAAAAGGGAAGCTGAAGCAGGGCAGATGGACCACCAAGGCCATATGGCTGGCAGCTGAATATGAGGACCCAAATCCAGGTCCTCTTACTCTTGGTTTAGAGTTCCACATGCTACCTTTTAAAACCTGAGGGGGAAAGGGCACATTTGTCATTATTAGGATGGCAAACACTGAGCAATGGGGAACCAAACTGTCACCTGAATTTTAAAACTTGTAAGTAAAGAGACTATACTTTAGTTTCTTAATTCAAGCCCATTTAAATTCTTGAGCCATCTACTTCACATTCACATTTCTAGTGATGGGTCTGCAGCTGTAATTAAGAATCAAAACCTATTTTTAACCAAAATCTTCAAGATAAGAAGTGAATTCTTTGATTAAAAAATTAGCTGTTTGTGGAGAACCATTAAGCCAATTTCTTTCTAAAAAAAACCTGAAATGGGCTATATACCTAATTTTTTGAATATCCAATTTTAAGTAAAAGTAAGTAATAAGCCTATTTTAAAATAACTTTGAAGCTGTACTAAAGTCAGATGGTTTTTCTATAATTTGAATTCTTATAATTTGAATTTTCTGACTCATGAACCAGTAACTCCAGATCTGTGAAAGCAGAACTAGAAGTTGTGTGTGGGTTTGGGTTTGGGTTTGTGCAGTACTGGGGAGTGAATCCAGGGGCACACAACCACTGAATTACATTCTCAGGACTTTTTATTTTGAGACAGGGTATTGGTAAATTAATAAGACTGTCTTAAACTTGCGACACTTCTGCTTCAGCCTCCTGAGTCATTGGGATTATGGGTGTGCACACTGCCTGGTAGTATTTCTGTACTTTTCATATTTTTCCTTTGGGGTGATCTTTTTCTTATTAATTTGGAAGAGCTCTTTATATATGAAGGAAAATATTTCTTTTTGATAGATGTTACAAATGCATATCTCAGTATTTCGTTTAAAAGGTTTGTTCTTTAAGAAGTTTACACTATTTTACAATTAAGTCTTTAATATTTTCCTTTGTGAGTTGTTGGTTTTATTATTTATTTTTACTTGCTTAGGTAGGTTTTTCCTTTTCTAAGAGTATTTTAAAAAATTTATTCAGATGTTTTATATTTTATAGCTTTATTTTGTAAAAATTAAAAATTTTTAATTAGAGTAACTTATTTTGGATGGGAGTGAGTTCGTGACTGGGACAGATTTCTTCCCTTCTTTCTATCCCACAGAATCAATTATCCCAGCATTATATTCTTTTGTTCAGTACACCTTTCACCTCAAATTTGGCCTTCACTGTACACTAATTTCCCATGTTTTATACCTATATTTTTGGACTTTCTACTTTGTTAATCTAGTTTTGCCCACAGTACACAAGCTATCTTAATACTGAAATTTTGCAATGTAGTTTAATGCCATGTGGGGCTAATCATTTCTCATTTCGTTTTATTTCTGCAACTTGTTGGTTAATCCCACATATCTTTTGCAGATGAACTTTTTTTTTCTTTAATTGATATTGCTGATGATTGAACTCAAGATCTTGAACATGCTAAGCATGTCCACTACCAGGGAGTTGCATGTCTAGCCCTCAAGATCACTTTTGACATACTTTTTGCAAAAGCTCTTTTTGTGCGTTGATTGCTGCCATATTGACTCTGCTAATTAATTTAAGGAAGACTGACACTTCTGTGTAACTGTTTCTTTCCAGCAAAGAACAGGAACATTTCCCTGCCATTCAGATCTTCCTTGTCCCTATAAAGCCTTAGTTTTCTTCATTGAGGATTTGGGCATCTCTCCAGTAAATCTATCAGAAAGTTGGAAGAATCTAAGGAGGAGTACAAAACTCTAATGGTGGACTCAAGGAAAACTTACACTAAGGAAAAATACTTTCTGCTTTTGGCTGGATGGAGTTTGGGCAGCCTTGTTGTTAAGGGCATTTTGGAGTCTGAATTCCCCTCTGAAATCCTTTCTTGTTATACAACCAGGCCAAATTACTTCACCATTTTTAACCTCAGTGTTCTCATCTGTGAAGTGGAAATACCACCCATGTGATGGAGTTATTGTGAAGATTAAATGATTATGCACATTTATTTATGCATATTGTTTAGCAGTATAACATTAAACACACAGTGAACGCTGAATGTTCTAAGGTAAATTTTTAGATTGTATGATTATGGTTATGTTAGTTACCCCCATCAAATGAATGTATACATTCAGTCTTAATTCCACTCACAGGTCCAGTGGATCTCTGGAAATACTTTGCCAATTTAAAGAGAAGTTTGGGCTGGAGTTCTAGCTCAGGAGCAGTGTGCTTACCTAGTACGCGCTCAGGTCCTGAGTTCAATCCCCAGCCCCACATACATATCAAAAAAGTCTGGCTTGGGAAATAAACCAATGGAAGAGCCAGGAAATGTAGCAAAGAGTCATTGGAGTGAGGCAGAGCATCACCTGCTTTGTGTCCCAGATAGATCAGCCGCTGCCCCTAGCACTTCCGCCTAGCCTGTGCTGAGTGGTGTTCCAGCCTCTTCCTCCACCCCCAGTCAGCCTGAGCCTTCTGTGCAGGGTTCTTCTCAGCAGCTCTTAGGCATATGTGTATTAGTCACATCTGCCTGTTGTCGCTTACTCAGAAACTCCCGATGTCATCACCCAGGGGTTGAAATGACTGGACAGAATGGCAAGATGCCAGGAAAGAGGGGGATAGGAATGGGGGTTCCCAGCTCCAGCCTCAGCAGAAGCTGGGAGATAGCTCGGGTGCCTCCTCTGTTCTTACTGATTGTACATCTAACTTAAATCTCCCAGGGCCTAATCTACTCTCCCGAGGTGAGCAATGTATCTTGAGAGCTCCCACAGACATTTCTTAATGATGTTTTAAGTCAGTTAACTCCTCCTCTCTTGGTTGTGTCCATGAGCACCACCTCTTCCCAATGACCTTGAAAATAGCCTATTTCCCCTTGCGTTGAACACAGTGCTTGAACATGACTAGAGGCTCAAAATACATGTTGGTAATTCATCTGACCTCTTAGAAATCCTAACTTGAATTATGTAGTAATCAAAAGCTCTCCAGAATATTTTTCTTTTCTCTCAAAGTGAAGCCTTAGTGTATTTTTT